CCAGAGAAATGTCTACCCTTGATAGCTGTATTGCCTCTTTAAACCCTGAGGTCAGTTTCCATTTCCCCGTCCTGTAACACTGTGCTTTTTAATGCAGATGAAATTCCAAGGTGGCTTTTCACCCCCTTCCCTAGAAAACTCCTCTGCAGCATTTAATACCTGCCCTGGCCTTCTTTTTTTTTTTTTTTATTGGAGGGTAACTGCTTTACAATGTTGTGTTGGTGTCTGCTGTACAACAACACAGATCAGGCATAATTATATATATAATTATATACGTATCCTCCCGCCTGAGCCTCCCTCCCCCCAACAAGCCCACCCCTCTAGGTCACCCAGAGCACCAGTCTGGGCTCCCTGTGTTATACAGTGGCTTCCCACTAGTTGTCCATTTTACAAATGATAGTGCACTGGCCTTCCTGAAACAACCTTTTCCATGGTTTCTGTGACAGACTGCAGACCCAACCCTTCTCTCTCCTCTCAGACAGCTCATTTCCAAACCTTCCCTGATTGGTGTTCTCTAAGACTCTGCCCTGAGCCTTCTGCTCTGCTTTCTGACACCTTTCCTGTGGATGGCCTTACCTACATCAGAGACACATCATCTTCCCTCCAAGCCTCTGAGTTCTCTGTTTCAGCTCTTAGCGTCCTGTCACATGGGATAGATAATGAAGATATTTTCATTTCCACCATCACTTACCTGCTAAGGCCAAGTGATTCTACTGTTGAAATGTCTTGTTATAACCTGAATGTTGGTTCCCCCCCAAATTTATGCACTGAAGCCCTAACCTCCACAGTGTCGACAGTGATGGTGTTAGAAGGTGGACCTTCAGAAGATGATTAGAATTAGATGAGGTCATGAAGGTCGAACCCCCATGATGGGATTAGTGCCCTCAGAAGAAGAATAAGGGACTCCAGAGCTCTCTCTCTCCACCATGTGAGGACACAACCAGAAGGTAGCCATCTGCAAGCCAGAAAGAGAGGCCCCCAGAACGAAACCTGCCAGAATCTTGATCTTGGACTTCCCAGCCTCCAGAACTGTGAGAAATCAATGTCTGTTGTTTAAGCTTTCCAGTCTGTGGTATTTTGTTATGGCAGCTCCATCAGATTAAGACACATGTTAAATCTCTAGTCCCACCCCACTGCCACTGCCCTGGTTCAGGTCCTTGGCATTGCCTGGATTGGGACAAAACCCTCCTTCCTGAGTCACTCACCTTTACAAACTAACCTTCAAGCAGAGACCGGAATTTCCTTTCTGAAACACAAGCCTGATGATGTCATTTCTCTGCTCAAAACCAAAATTCAGATTTCCTACAGGTCGTTCCACAGAACGTTTGTTCCATGTGTTGTTAATAGCTGATACAGCAAAATAAACAAGGGGGAGTCCAGTTCTCAAATAAGTTGGGCTTATTGAGAAACACTGAGTTAAACAAAGTTTCATGGGTTTCTTCACTGTAGAATTCATCACAGTCCTTCATACACTAACAAAAACTGAATCTCCAAGAAAGAAGCTATAAGTGCATTATTTCTCAAATATATTTGATCCCAGAAGTCTGTGTTTTTGTTGTTTTTTCCCACAGAACATTCATGCTCAAGGATTCTGGTAGAGAGGCCATAAGACAGAAGGAACATGTATCCCTGTGTCACTGCTTAGACCTGCCCGGAATGGGGCAGCCCTACCAGAAACACCAGTGATGGACTATTGGGTGCATTTTTATTGTGTTTAGCCACTTAAACTTCAGGGTTGTTTGTTATAGCACTTAGCCTTTGCTGTCTAAAGCAGAATGCATGCAGACTTTTAAGATACGTGCAAAAGAAAAGAGATGATCTTTTTCAGCCTTGGAAGTTTTTGTCATAATAATAACCCACACGGATCGCAGCCTTATTAAGTATCAAGTAAAGTGATGATAAGTATTTTGTAAACATTACCTCATTTAATCCTCTTGCCCACAGAGTAGGGTAAATACTATTATTGCCCTTTTTCACAGATGAAGAAACTAAAGCTGACAGAGGTTAATAACTTGGAAGTAAGAGGGTCAGGATGTGAATCCAGTTCTTTCAGTTTCTGGATCTTAATCACACTGAGGTCCTGCCTCCTAAGTCCAGGTTATGAGGTCAGAAAAACTGGATTTCAGGTTCAATGTGTTAGTTACCTAGCCCAACAGAACATGGAGATGACTGACTTCCTTCCGGTCTTTACCTAGACTAGTGGTTCTCAACCACAGGTGACTTTGAGAGGGGACAAATGACAATATCTGGAGAAATTCTGGACAGGGGACATTTGAAAATATCTGGGGAAATTTGAGACTGTCACAGCTAGGGAGATGCTACTAGAATCTAGTTGGTAGAGGGCAAGAATGCTGCTAAAACATCATATAATGCACAGGGCAACCCCCAACAACAAAGAACTACCTGGCCTAAAATGTCATAGTGTCAAGGTTGGGAAACCCTGATCTAGACATCTTATACTTTCACTGACAGAGCCCAAAATGTCCAGAATAAATCCACATCCATGCTTGGCACAAGAAGTATGCTTGAAAACTCTGCTTTCTGCCTTAATACCTAAAAGCAGGGAAGGCTGTAGCCAACAAGTGGCTTTTGGTGCTCAGTGGCCAAGGCTTATTGTGGGAGAGAATCAGCCCAAAGAAGACTAGCCACAGAGAAAGAATTTGGCTTGGCAAGACCTCAGGAACAATATAGGGTGGCAGAACAGAAATTCTCTCGAAAGAATGCCAAACCCTTTTGGTTTCCTAGTAACATAATTTTCCTAAGATTTCTCTTATATTTGAATTTGCAGCATCCCCACACCTATTTTAAGTCAAAGCAACAAAAGAATTTTTTTAATGCCATAATAGAATCAGAGCTTCTTGGGGAGGGAGAGAAACATAAAAGACATCTGGCCCATCCCCTACCCACATCTCTGGTGTATGGTCCTCCTGTTTCAACATCATATGATTGTAGGAAGGGGATGTCACCAGGATCCAATTCCATTTCCAGAATATTCTGTTAGAAAACTTTTCTTCCTAGGCACAGAAACCTGCTTCTCCAAACTCTGCTTGTTGCCTCTAATTCATTCCTTTGCCGAAGACTGCAGTTTGTGGGAATGGATACAAGGGGACTAGAGGGGATGGAAAGTGTTCTTCGGTGAAAGCTTGAGTCCCAGGTGCTGTGCCCTGTGGTTTACACACATTATTTCTAATCTTCTAACAATGTCTCATAGCAACCTCGGGTTAACCACCAGGCACAGCCTCCCACCCCTACCTGTTGTCTCCATTTCAAAAGAAACCTCCATGAGTTCTATTTTCATATGCAAACATCCCTTTGGCATTCCGTTGATTCATTCACTCAGCACATATTTACTGGACACTTACTATGTGGCAAACTTGTACCAGATATTTAGGGTACAAACTTTGGACAGGTTGACCTTTCAGGACAGTGGAACTGCCACATTCTGTCAGCAAAGGAAGCCCTCAATCTAGGTGACTATTTACATTATCTGCAGCAAAAAATCCCTAGGCTGATACCCTCCTGGAGCCCCAGGAGAATCAGCGTGTGAGAGAAGACAAATGACAAAGAGGTGAGCCTGACAGAAGACTGAACTCTCTTTTGATGTCCTCAAAATCTTCAGGGGCATCAGCAAACCTCGCAAAATGCGTGCCATGATGGGTGCCCCATGGAAACTAGTGTGGCTGAGCTCCACATCAGGGTAGATGTGAGAGAAAACAGGATGAAGAAGCCAGAAAACAGTTTACTGAGGGAACTTCAAGGCTGTTACATCCCAAGGCTTCATCAGGCTGTGGAGAGGACAGTGGCTGGGCGGAGGGGTTGCATAGGGGTGTCTAGAATGAAAGAAGAGGGAGCCCCCTAATTCACATCTGACTTCCCTATATCTAGGCCTCTGGTACAAGAGTTCATTTGCAGAAACAGCTCTAGTGCATTATCATCATTCCCTTAAAACAAGTTCACACACATCACCAAAGGGAATAAAGCCTTCCTGGTGAAATCTGGGGTACTGTGGCAGGTTACTGGGGCCACACATGGTGGCAGGGAGGATTTTGGTGCCTTCCTGCTCCCCAAGGTGCCACCTGAAGAAATCATCTGCCCAAAGTACCCCTGAGGACAGCCTGCAGGAACCTCATTGGCAATCCCTGAGGAAGAGGGGAGACCACCAATGAAACAGCAATAGAAAACAAATTATACTGAGATGTCTCTAAATGAACCAAGGGAAATTGCATACAATTATATGCTTTTGCCATTATTTCTAAAAATGAGGGTTGACTTTCCCAATGAGGTTTACATCTGGAGATTGAACAAAAACAGACCTACACAATTGCATGGCAACTTCATAATCTCCTAAATATTCCTCCAAAAATTGAGGTAAATGTGGAAGTTTTCAAAAAGAAAAGTTTACCAAAACATAATTTTCAGTTTGAATGTTCTACAAAAAAATTTTTATATCATGTCCATTTTCATTTCAGGCTCATCTTGTTAAAATAACATTCTTTCATTTTTGTTTTGTTTTTAGGCACGTAGTTAAGCAAGAAAAAGGCTCTGCTCTGCCTGCTAATAGAGTTTTATGGGTTATTGTCTTCCATGTACCCTGTTTCTCCCCACACCCCCTAATCTTGCTAATTGATTCCTTAAGACCAAAAAGGTCTCATTTCTCACTAAGCAGGCCCAAGACCAAATCTCACAGGTAATAGGTGCTCATTAAGAACTTGCAGACTGAGGGGAATTGTGGGGAAAGGCAGCAGCACAGGCTTCTCCTCAGAAAAACAGGGGCAGGAAGCAGCCATCTCAAAAGAGCGTCTCTTTGGGGTGCCCACGACAGCAGAGACTGAGCCATAATTAGCTTTGTGTTCCCAATCCACGGTACCCAGAGGGCGAACGTTTGATGTAAGAGGCCAGGCATACGGGCCAGAAAAAAGAACATTTATGCATCAGGGGAAGTACTATAAATGCAGGCATTTTTCACTTGCAATCAGGGAGCTCTGGGCCAGAGGAGCAGCATGGTTTGGGATGCTGGCGTAGCAGAGCTATCACTGGTGAGGAATGGCAGGACAATTTCCAGGATCTTCATTCCTGCTGGGTGAACAACCCAGGCAAGATGCACAGATCAGTTCCTCCATGCTGGAGCTGCAGGGCTGTCCCTGTTACAATTCTCAGTTCAAAACCTCTTTCTGAATACATTCAACTCTTTTCATTTTTATGGGAGGGGCTCTGGGGAAAGACAGATTTGGTTTCAACCGAAATTTCACTCACCAGCTGTGTATGATCTTCAGCAAACGCTTTAGCCTTCCTGAGCCTCCATTTTCTCACCTGTAAAATAGGGATAAAATTTAGTAATATCTTACTCAAAAATCTTGACAATCTTGACACATGTAAAGCACAGTGCCTAGCACACACCAAGTACTAAATAGATTTCCCAAGGGCAGGAAAGGGCTTGCCCAGGGTGAGCCCTGGACAAAATCACAAGGTGGAAGGTGTTTGTCCACAAAGCATCTTATAGCTCTGAGCAGTGATTCTGTGCAAACAAGCCAGCCCCAGGAATGCGGTGGGAGGACTGGCCTGGCACACAGTGGGTAGCACAGAAGCCAGTAAGTGGCTGAGCTAGAGCTAAGGAGAACCAACCTGCAAGGTGCCTGCTCCCACCCTGATGTCAGGGGTGGGGGATGGGGATGACCAAGGGAAGGTTACAGGGGCCACAGTGGGGGGCATGGGAGGCTACAGGAGCCAGCAGAGGGATGGTCCTTGCTGATGAAGAGCGACGGGTAGGGTTACAGCTCCAGGGGAATTGGCAGGCAGTTTCCAGGGTGTCGCTCAGATAAGCTGCGGCTTGGGATGCAGGTCCCTGGCTCTCTGGGAGAGACGCCATGTCTTGGCCGGTGCTGTCTACCAGGGTTTGCTTCAAGCTTTCCAGGCACTTAGACTGGGAATGTGGAGTGACCACTCCTGCCCGCCTCCCACTCTGTCCTCCTCGTTGACTCCCTCCCCATGCCTCTCCCAGCTCCCCCAGGCCCCTGGGGGGTCCTCCAGCACACACTGTGCCCCTCTGCCTGGGACACCCTTCCCCATGTCGCTGGCTCACTTGTTGGCTCACTGCACACAGCTTCTGTCCCACTGTCACTTCATCCAAGAGAACTCTGCATGTGAAATATCGCACATCCAGCCCCTTATTTTCTTCACAGTGCTCATCACCATCTGACCCATGGCATATTTATTAGTGAACCTGTCTGCCTCCTCCGGCATAATGTACACCCCATGATGGCCAGGACTATGCTCCTGCCAGTATCTACTCAGAGTCCAGCCAAATGTCTAGCACCTGAGCATGGAGCTGCTCAACAAAAACTGTGTGAATGAGTGAGTGAGTGAGTCAACTGCCAAACCCCATCTGCTGGTAGGTGAAAGACACTAACTAACATACTGAATTGGCTCCAGAACCAACCAGGACTGAGTACATATGGCCTAATGAAGGTACTAGCTGCTGGAACAGGGAGAAGGGGCTGAGCGTAGAGAAGGCAGCAGTTCAGCCTGGGACTCCCCTGGATCTGCTCCAAATATCCATCTAGGGATGTTTTTGTTAAGAGGCTCTTGTACACTAAAAGCTTCCTCTTGGTTCTGTGATCTGAATCCCTGATGGTGGGACTTCAGGCACATGCCCAGCAGGAGAGAAGGTGTGGAGCTGTTTGGCTTACCCAAACCACACCCCTTAAATCACCTCATGACTACTTAGAAGGCTAACTCTAATAGCAGCTAAAAGTCCATTTATGCAGGCAAGCCATTAGAGAGATTTGAGAATTTAGGTCATAGTTCCAGGAGCATCATCCAGATAAATGACAGCATGCAGTCAGGGCTTGGATAGAGTTCTTGCCCACAGGTCTGGGTTTCTTCTCTCTGGTGCTTAAAATCACTGCCTGGCAGAGGACGCAGCCAGCAGGGGATCATTACCGAACCCTTCTTGACATGAAATGCAAGAATGTCCAGGCACTGCCTAGAAGCCCATGGTCATGATGCTTGCCTGATCTACTGGCTGAATCCATTGAAAGGAATTATGTCACTACCAAGAACACCTTTTTCCAGTTTCTGTCCACGAAATTCAAAGTGTTAAGTCGCTCAATCATGTCCAACTCTTTGTGACCCCATGGACTGTAGCTCGCCAGGCTCTTCTGTCCATGGAATTCTTCAGGCAAGAATACTGGTGTGTGTTACTTGCTTAGTCATGTCTGACTCTTTGCGATCCCATGAACTGTAGCCTGCCAGCCTTCTCTGTCCATGTAATTCTCCAGGCAAGAATACTGGAATGGATTGCCATTTCCTTCTCCAAAGAATAGTGGAGTAGGTTGCTATTTCCTTCTCCAGGGGATCTTTCTGACCCAGGAGTCAAACTCAGGTCTCCTGCATTGCAGGCAGATTCTTTATCTTCTGAACCACCAGGGAAGCCCCTTCCATCCAGATGTGAAGAGAAAAGGCAAATGCCTCTCTATGTGCCAGTGCCCAGAAACAAGCAGAAACCTCACCCACAGTGGTGGCCAACATCTGAGTTTTTCAGGAGTCTCTTTGAAGAAGCAATGATATTCTTCTGAGGAGGGTGGGGAGTGGTGGTGATAATATGGAAGGGGGAAAAGAAAACAGCTCACAAAGTGAGGATTGTGTAAGAGGCTGTCCCCTGGGGGCATGTCTCTGCTTCCTATCCATCCCCTCCTGCTGCACCCCAGGCCACTGGTTCCTTCCTCCAGCAGGACTAGTTGCAGCAAAACCCCATTCCCAAAGAGATGCATCTGCACTTGAAGAGGATTTGACCTATGCCTGGAGAAGTACTCTAACCTATGTGTACCTCAGGGTGGTTATCAATTCCCACTGTAACCGGAAAGGGCATGGAGTACGAAGCTTAGCTCTCCCATTTAGCTGTGTGACCAGGACAAGCTTTTCAACCTCTCTAATCAGTTTTTTCCCACTCCAGTGTTCTTGCCTGGAGAATCCCAGGGACGGGGGAGTCTGGTGGGCTGCCGTCTATAGGGTCACACAGAGTCGGACGCGACTGAAGCGACTTAGCAGCAGCAGCAGCAGCAATCAGTTTTTTCATTTGAACCTAAGGTAGCTTTACGTCCATGGGGCCATCTGGATGAAACATGACTAAATGCAATTTAATCCATTACTTTGGTCCAATACTTCAGCCACCTGATGCAAAGAACTGACTCATTGAAAAAGACCGTGATGCTGGGAAAGATTGAAGGCAGGAGAAGAGGACGACAGAGAATGAGATGGTTGGATGGCATCACCGACTCAATGGACATGAGTTTGAGCAAGCTTCGGGAATTGGTGATGGACAGGGAAACCTGGAGTGCTACACTCCATGGGGTCGCAGAGTCAGACACAACTGAGTGACTGAACTGAACTGAAATGCAATTTATACACAGAGGATCTAGAAAATGCCCGCAAGCTAATGGGTGCTCAATAAACACACTTTTCCTGTTGAAATGCCTCATTGTTTAACTTACTAAATGATGTTATATTACTTTGCAGTGGATTATTATTTCTTTCAACTTCCAGTCTAGATGGTCCCTTTTAGTTTCTTGTAGTTTTGTTTTAGATAATGTAAGATATGTTTTATCTTACCATTTTATTTTGCTTACAATTTTGTGGGCTTCCCAGGTAGTGCTAGTCACCTGCCAGCCAATTCAAGAGACATGAGAGATACAGGTTCAGTACCTGGGCCAGGAAGATCTCCTGGAGGAGGGCATGGGAACCCATGCCAGTATTCTTGCCTGGAGAATTCCATGGTCAGAGGAGCCTAGGGGGCTACAATTCATGGGATCACAAAGACTCGGACAACTGAAGTGACTTAGCATGCACGCACACAAGATATGTTTGGTTTCTAATAAAGTCATAATAAAGCTTTATGTTGGAACTAGCTCAATCTAATAACACTCTCAAATTCTAAGGTGATTTGAGGGACATTCATTCTTGCATTAATTCATTTATGGCCCAACTGCATCAAAACACTTGTTCCAAAAGTATTTTTAAGGGGCTTATAAAAATAGATACAGAAGGATACAAAGAAATAAGATTGTTACAGGTTGGTCACAGAATTAGTCCTGAGCTTCCTAGAAGCTAAAGAAAAGAGGAAAAGGTGAGCAAAAATAAGATTCACAGTGTCTGTAAGATACCAACTTCTCCCAAAAAACACAACCTTTCCTGCACTAAGCTCTAAGTGACCTCGATCCCACCTCAACAGTATCTTCACAGAGCAGCTGCCTCTGATCCTGTCTGTTGGTACAAACCAGGGCACCACACCTGAGGGCTACTCAAAAACAATCCAACCAAGGTAGGCTTTCTGTTGGTTGGGCTTGATTCAGGGGTGGGATTTTACTGACAGGAATCAATGAAATGTATATCTCTTACAGTTACTACAGATGTATAACAAATTACCCCCAAATTTAGTGACTTACAACTACCATTTTATTTTCCTTACAATTTTATGGGCCAGAGATTTGGCCAGACTGTAACATCTTTGGATAATACAATCTGCTATAATACCTTTTATGCAATCACCCATAAATACTGTATCTGCAACTAAGCCTTGAGGAGAATTAAGTAGATCTAAAGGGCTTACAGGGTGTCCTTCTGATGTCAAACATCAAGGAAGAAGGTCTTGGCTTATATACAGCAGGTTAGAGACACAGTGAACATACACTGAATGAAGCAACATATTCTTGGTCCCCATGTATATTATTCTGCTCAGTCTCCACAACAAGATACCATAGACTGGGTGCTTAAACAAAAGAAATGCTATTTACTCACAGTCTGGAGGCTAGAAGTCTGAGATCAAAGTGCCAGCATGGTCAGGTTCTGATGAGAGGTTTTCTCTTGAATTGCAGGTGGCCACCTTCTCACTTCCCTGGTAGCTCAGCTGGTAAAGAATCCTTCTGCAATGCAGAAAACCCCAGTTCAATTCCTAGGTCAGGAAGTTCCCCTGGAGAAGGGACAAGCTACCCACTCCAGTATTCTTGGGCTTCCCTGATGGCTCAGATAGTAAAGAATCCACCTGCAGTGTGGGAGACCTGGGTTCGATCCCTCGGTTGGGAAGATCCCCTGGAGGAGGGCATGGCAACCCAGTCCAGTATTCTTGCCTGGAGAACCCCCATGGACAGAGCAGCCTGGCGGGGGACAGTCCATGGGATCACGACTGAGCAACGAAGCACAGCCCAGCACAGTACCTTCTCACTGTGTGTTCATATGACCCTTTCTTTGTGTGAGCTCATGGACAGAGAGAGTCCACTTCTATCTCTTCCTATAAAGACACTAATCCCATTATAAGGGCCCCACCTTCATAACCTCATCTAACCCTAGTCACCTCCCAAAGAACTCATCTCCAAATACCTTCACATTACAATTTCGGGCTTCCACATATGAATGGGAGCACAAACATTCAGTTCAGAATACCATGGCTACAGATACGCCTGCATTCAGTGGGAAGCAATGTCAATTCCTGAATATGTCCAAATATCTGGAGTCTTTAATCAAGTAGACAAATCATCCACATATGTGAGTTTTTCACTTTTTTTCCAATTTAGTCTTATAGTTAAAACTCAAGCCAGAGACTATGGCACAGATATAAATAGAGCATCATTATATATAATTTGGAAAGGATTTCACTGGTGTACATCTGTAAGCAGTTCAGGAACACTTTCAAGCTGTGTTTACATGATATCAAACATCTGGATGAAAACTGAAAAAAATAATCAATTTGGATTGGAAACAAAACAGAAGTACAAATCCCAGCGCACTAGCTCTTGGAATACTGAACACAGTATTCCCATACCCCAAGAATGAGACAATGGTGCACAAGAAGGGCTATTAGAATGACCAGGCAGTGGGAAGGGACTTCTGTGGGAAGGCATACTTTATATTTTTTTATTTTAATTTTAATTTTTTATATTATGAAACTATGCTAACATATTTATAGGAGACTTGGAAAATACAGAACAAGGTTACATATACTTCCACTATATATTACAATGATTTTTTTTTAAGTAGATAAAATAAGAGTTTTAGTTGGAGTTTTAACTTCAAACCATTTACCTCTTACCTCTTACACTGAGGTAAGACCCAAGCACACTGTTTACTTGGTCTGGGGGACAGAGCCAAAGGAGAAACTGTGGGTCAGTGAATATGCAGAGACCCAGGGTATGCTGAGTGCCGAGTTACAGACAAGCTTCATCCCCCCCCCTCATCTTGTGGCGGGAGAAAGAGGCTTGGTCAGGACAGGTTCGGGCATTAGCGGGGAAGTGGTGGATATGTTCAAGGCATGCAAGATGGCAAGCTGAAGGTCCTCAGAACTGGCATCTGAAGAGGGCTGAGGCAGGCACCCCTGACTTATTTAAACTCACACATCAAGTTCATGACAAAAATCCAGGTGTCTTCACTCTGACATGCCAGAAATTACCCAATACTTAGTGGTCCAGAAGCAAAGCCAAGAAGATGTGGGTTCCAGGAACACCAGGGATTGCTGGCCCAAAGTTCCCATGAGGGCAATTCTAGGGACAAGGGCCTAAGGCCAAGCCAGAGAGTCAAAACCTCCAGCTGTCAGAGCAAGGCATCCCGGCTGGCCGGAAGGAGGCAGGCCTTCTGCCAGGGGAAGAAGGAAAAGGGGCCAACACATCAGCAAGTAGAGAGTCAGAGAAATTAAGGCAGGAAGCAGAAAGAGACTGAAAGGGGGTACACTGGGACAAACCATCATTGCTGTTACTCTGGCAAGTTCTTTGTTTCGACACATAGTCAAGGCTGTCCTGGGCATAGGGAGCAGAGCAGCATGGTGAAGACACAAGCTCTCAGATGAAAAAGAGTGATGGTTGAGGGAGCCTGAGCTCTGGCTTGGGTACAGGGGGATTTATTTGTGCAAGGCAATGTGTTGTTGCAGCATTCAAGACACAGGTAAAGAGCTAGGAGGAGGGAGACTGTGGATTTGGAAATGAAAGAATAAAATCAAGAGATTTGTGGAAGAAATAACATTAGAATTTGATAGAACTGTGAACACCAAAGTGGAAGTAAGACCAAAAAAAAAAAAAAAAATCACAGAACTAATTTGAAGACAAATGTGGGGAACTGGGAGGCTGTTGGCACCTTAGGTAACTGTGGAGATTTTGGAAAGATGTGATTTCTGGAACTGAGAGTTAGTGTTGCTCTGACCCACCATCCAATCCTCTCTAGGAGAGGAGAGCACGATGGGGTTAGGATTCTGGTGTCCAAGGCTGCCTCTTTTCTCTGGACCACTTCCTGTTCCTGCTAACTCTTAAAGCAGTATCACCTGGACCAAGGAAGGAGATGGGTGTCCCCTGCGCTTGCTTCCTGGGACAGAAATCCAATATTTGACCCTTGGACTTATCAACTTCATCAAGAGAAACTGAAGTATGAATTATAGGAATGTGCAGGGTAAAGTGAGTTCCTGGATTCTTGATAAGTATGTGACTTGACAAAATCCATGTTGGAAGAAAGTAACACAAAATTTGGAAGGATAGAAGAATATAATTAAGCCAACTGGAAATATGTTGTCAACGTGTCTGTTTGGGGGTAGGATTAGTTCATTTGAACAGGGTCACAGTGACTCAAATATTATATTGTAATGATGTTATCCTGAAAGAGCTTCAGTAAATCTAATCACTCATGAACGTCCAGATAACATAAATTTGGAAAGATCTAAAAACCAGCTAAGATTGATACTGACAGCCAAAAGAGAAAGTTGTTGAAACAATGGAAATTCCCATGGGATGATACATGTTAATAGTTTGACCTAGAATAAATATTACATTCTTGGCTAGGGGAGGATTTCCCATCTATGCTATAGTGTTTGAGGTGTTAAGATGATCACATCCAAAACTGAGAGGCCAGGGAAGTGATCTGGGATAGGCTCAGGGGGCCTGCCAAGGAATGACATTAATTTATGGCTTTCCTCAGAGAATGATCAAAGGTTTATGGCAACCAGGAATCAGATCCAGGGCTTGAAAGATTCCTCTCTTAGAAGTGTTCATGGCTTTAACTGGGATGACTGGACACAAAAGGGAGAGACCAATTAAAGGGCCATGCCAAGAGAAGACTTGGTGGGAAGGAAAAATGTTGGCTAGAGTGGAGAGAAGAATGGAAAATTTGAGAATCCAGGAAAGAAGGGGAGTGGAGGAGAAAGAAGGAAAGGGGAAGGACCCGAAGGCAGTTGTTGATGAAATAAAGAAATTTTTTAAAGGGCTTAGTCAACTCCTACTTTGATAATTCCATTCCAAGTGGAGATGGGCTACTGAAATCCTGGTAAGCAGGAGTTGAAAAGAAGGGAAAGACAGCACTGGGAAGAGATTTGGGAACTGAAGGCAGAAGCAGACTGAAAACTGGATGCAGTGAATGACAGTAAACAGCCCATAAACAAGCATAAACAAGCATGAACAACAAGTTCAAGTATAAGTATCTTAAACTCAGAACCTTGAACTGAGACCTGGGTTCTTGCCCCACTCTGCCCCTAAAGTTGGGAAAGCCACTCCATCTTTCTGAACCTGTTTCTTTACATCTAAAGTGATGGGATTAGACTAGGTGGCCTTGAGCATTCCTTTCCTTTTCTACAGCCCTCAATTCAACATAGACATTATGAAATCAGAGACTTATATAAATGGAATCTTCCAGATTGGAACGTGCATTTAGCTTTTCTAAGTACAAAATGCTTTGAAGGGAGGAAAAAAAGGTTCCACTCAACACTTGGCGAGCAGTATTTGTTCTGTAAAATAATTAGCGAGTAAGTGTTATTGAACTAGGTTGTCACATAATCACAAGAGAATTTTTTTTAAAAAAAAGATTTAGGAGACTCAATTTTCCCTCCCATAGATCAAAAGAGTGACTAATAGAAACCACGGGTGGATGGTTAATAAAAATTTATATAGGAGGAGACAGCCAACATGAAATGAAAAGAGTGCTGATCTCAGGTCAGGAGCCTTGAGTTCTAATCCCAACTCTGAAAATATATAATTTCTAAAAGAATAATGCAGGGGACCAGTTACAGGAGGATGGAAGAGCTGAGAAACCAGAGGGCAGTATGGCAGCCTGTAGTGTTTGTGCTCAGTCATGTCCGACTCTTTGTGACCCCATAGACTGTAGCCCACCAGGCTCCTTTGTCCATAGATTGTCCAGGGAAGAGAAGATTGCCATTTCCTATTCCAGGGGATCTTTACCACCTAGGGATTAAACCCACATCTCTTGTGTCTTCTGCTTGGCAGATGGATTCTTTATCACTAGCACCACCGGGGGGAACCCCAAGGAAGCCTAGATATTAGCAACAGCAGGAAGCCACGGCCATCCTGGGCTGGAGGGAAAAAAGAGAGAAGGTGCTATTACTGGAATCCAGAGGCCATGGTCACCTGATGGAAGCTGGAACTACAGTGGGTCTATTAGTGGGAGCTGGAGCCACGGAGGAGATACAGCAATGGTCACAGGACTGAGGGAAGGAGGGCTGGAGAGAATATCCCAGCTCTTTCTTGCCCTGTTCTCCAGTCTTCTGCCAGTGCTTCCCATTGGTAGATCCAGCTAGCAACTAGCTCACATCACAGGATGGCAAATGCAGCCCACAACGGTCAGCTCTTCCTCCATACAGAGCAGAGAAAGTTCAAGGATGGATCTGAGGACAAGCAGGCCAGGAATGGCCCTAAATACAAATTCTACTTTCTTATAACACTGATCCATAGTGTTATAGATCAGTGTATAACTTATAACACTGTGTATAACTTATAACAGTATATAACTTATAACACTAATCTCTAGTTCTCTATCAGCCTAGCATCTAGGTCTTCACACATCTGAGGACATCCATCCTGTTATGTCTTGTTTTCTTTCTTTCCCAAGCCTGACATTCAAACTGCCTTATACAGAATATTTCCCAAGCCTCCCTCACTGTTCTGGTATCGCTACTTCTGGGAGCTCCCTGGGATGTGGTACCCGATGTTCACAAGACCCATGGTGACCCTAACACCAGCTCAGAAACAGAGGACTAATCCCGCCCTTCTTGTAGCAATGCAGCAGTCATTCCACTGCTGACTCATGTAGAGTCTATGGACTATTAAGACCCATGTACTTTTTTACTATGTGATTTCAAGTCTTTCCTGACCTGTCTTAGCAGGGTAACCACACATTTGATAAGCACAACCAAATTCATCCTCCAAAGTGCTGGATTAAAAAGAAGAGGAGGAGGAGGAAGAAAAAGAAGAATAGAATAGACCAGAAACAAGGACAGAGCTCTGTGTCACTCCACCGGAGATCTCCCTTCAAGTTAACTCAGAACTATGAATCAAGCCTCACTGGGTAGTGCTGCTCAACCAGTTCTAGATCCACCTAACAGCCAAGGAATTATGCAAGACTTCATCAAATTCTTTACTTATATCACAACGTATAACATCCGTGGCAGTCAGCTCTCTTCACTTCAAGCACAGAGTGCTTAACTAATACTTGCTGCCTCTAAGTTAAATAAAATTATCTTGATTCACCTAATGATACTGTTTAAAGAAAGTTAACATGGTTATCTTAATGGGACATCATAATGAACCCGTGTTGGCTGCTGGTGATTACCACTTTCTTCTTTAAACACATATAAACCTACTTGTTCCAGACTTTTTCTAAAGAGTGGCCAAAAAGGCCTGTTATGGATCTGTGATTCCTGAAATCTACTCCTCTCTTACTTTAGAAAACTGGGGCAACATTGCCCCTATACAGTCTTTGGGTACACTCTTATCTTCCTAAACTGGAAGGATTATAGTTGCTGCTTGAGTTTCATGGGTCTTGAGCCCACCCTTCTCCCCAGTAGGAATAAATTGACCCTTTCCTCACCAGGAAAGATCCAGGAAGATGGGAAGACATACAGCACAGCAAAATCAGTCAATTAGGGTGCCCATGTACAAGCCTTGTGGATGGTTATAAGAACAGCTCCAATACAGCACCCTCACATCCTGCAGCCCCAAGACAGAATGACACGGGGGGCCCAAGATACCATATGTAGTAATCAGGTGGACTCCCAGTGGGGCCGAACCTATGATCCTGGTCCTTCTGTTTAAAAGGCTTACAAGCAGCCCCATAGGAAGCTGAGCCAAAACACAACAGAGATTGGGGCCATGGAGTTTTCCTCTTTATCTCTCTTTCTCTTCCCTCTTTTCCAACTTCCCTCTCCCTCTGAATCTGTGTTTCAGAGTCACTATCATTGCATCAGCTGCTCAGGAAGCTGTCCGGTAGGCAGCTCATGAGGGCAGAACTAAAAGCCTGAGAGAACAGCCTAATGCCCAAATGACCAGCCTCTTCACCCCTGACTCCCCACAGGTGTCTGGACATGGATGGGCCTGTGCAGAGGACACAGTGCCCACCAAAAAATGCAGAAGGATGTTTTCTATTCCTCACCTCAACCCATAAAAATGCCCACTGGGCTCAATCAATGCTTGATAAATTCAAGAATGAACTCAACTAACCCATCCTCTGCCAAGATGGATTGTGCTCATTAAAATTCTTGATAACCTTAATGTTTCATGATAGATACAGCTATTATTTTGTTAGCTATAATTTTCTGTCTTGTTTTTTCCTCCTAAGAACAATGGAGGCTGCTGAAGGTTGATAGACACTGATTAAAGACATGTGCAAAGATTTCAACATGAAGATATTCACTGATGCTATTTTAGCAGAAAATTGGAAACAACCTGTATGCCCAACAATAGAGGATGCTTAAATACCTATGGTACACCCATATAAAAGAATATTGTGCAGCTTTTAAAAATCATATTGTCAGATGGAGTGATGTTCAACACTGTTTAAAGGAAAAAGCACGTTACAAAAGCAGACTGCTATACACACAAAGAAGGAAATTTTTCAAAAGATATGCTAATAGTTACTGCCACTGGTAGACTTATGAATGGATTTTAAAATCTTTTGCTTGTAAGTTTTTCCCATTTTTTTCTAGTGATGTACATTGCTTTTGAAATAAGGCAAGGTAGGATGGGTAACAATAAAAATTATTTTGTTAGCCAGGGAAAAAAAAGGAAAATCCCCCTCTTTCAAGGCTGTCTTCCAGCATCTTGTTCTGCCAGATGGATAGGAAGCAAGCTCAAACTCCACTGGTCCAGCTTGCTGAGAGCCCTATGGAGGTCACCTTGGCTCTGGGCAGAAGCTTCCTTGGTGCCAGCAACCACCTCGAGACGAGTTATTAAAAATGAAGCTGTCCCAGGCGAGATCTGGTTCCAAAGTACCAAGAGCCACTTAAGCCCAAAGAAATGGCAGTTCCAGAACTCTGTGAATTTTTGAAGCAGAACAGCAGCCCTAGCTTTGGAGAGGAACCTCCCTCCCTCACTCCTCCAGGCTGCCTGCCGGAGGTTGCAGACGGCTCCCTTTCCATCCCACAAGAGGAGACAGGCAGATGAGTCATAGCACTGGCTTGGATTAAAGGAATATTATCGTGTTAGAAGAAATGGATCTATCTTATTATCCATTTCTTGTCACCTTACAAATAAATATGCTTTTCCCACCAGATAAAGTTCCTTAAAAAGCCACCGATTTCATTAGCTGAAGCTAAGAAATGACCAATAAGAGTTAGAAATGTTCATTTCTGAAGAGTAGCCAAGCTGAAAAGATCTAGTGGAAACACTGAGGAAAGTGGTTTATAAGTCTAGATTCAAGTCTGCAAAGTGATGCCATTCTTCTAAAAATATACAGAGGAACCACGGAAGTCCTTTCCCCTTTTCTAAGAGCTTTCTCTTTCTTTCTTTTAAAGAAACACACTAGGATTGGTTTGTAGGATTGGTTTGTATATCTGAGATTCGCCCACCTCAGATTTCCCCTTTTTTGTCGGGATGATGGTCAGCCGATACTATTTTAAGGACTTCCTTCTCTTATACAGATTTTTCCACACTGGGAAGACAGATAAGGTATGTTCCACTAATGTTCCTCATTAAACCCACATGCGTGCCAGCAGTCATTTCCCTTTGTCTTGCTATCCCATGACAACAGATTGCATATCATAGGAAATTGGAATGGAGATTTTATTTGGTTTGGATCTCTCTTCTCCATTGTTTAATTCCACATTCAGTTTTTCATTCTACATCTGCCTCCTTTTGCAGACATACACTACGATTAAATACAGGGATGGCTAAACGAGTTGGTGTTGCTTATTGACGATTCACCTCATAGACTTCTCAGGAGCACTCTGACCAGCCCTCTCCCTCCCCAGGGTTGCAAAGAGTCAGACATGACTGAGCACACACACACACACACATCCTCTGCCCTTGGAATCCTACCTCTGGTCTAATACGTGTTCAGTAAAGAGCTGCTGACTGATGGACATATCTCTGTTGTTAACTGCACTCCCAATGCTTTGTTTACTGTTGATCAAGTTCCAATAGTGAGTTTCCCTGTTAGCGCTAAGATGTGTAGATGTCTCAGTGGTATTTCTGTCTTCAACCCAGATCACCTGTCCATTAAAACAAACAAGAAAAACAAAAAGAACTTCCACCAAGCGCCAGAAAAATAGGTCTAGGGAGACAGAGAAAGTTTCACACTTCCTATTGCTGAATTTAGGCATGGCCCTTAGAGGAAGCTGGACGACTTTTCAATCCAATATGCTCTGTTCTCTGATGCTATCATCCTTGTTTTTCCTTAAGACTACAAAGCCATGATGCCAAACTTTTAAAATGACCCAGCTATTTGTTTTTTGAGTATCAACTTTTATCACTGTGACTGCTATGATTTTTTTTCTTTTCACTTAAAATTGTGATTTTAAAATATTTTGTTTTTCTAAATGGGGTCCATTAGATCTAAGAATGTTCTTTCCATTTATCAAACATGAACTGTGTGCCAGGCACTGGGTACTAACTAGCTTCCACAATCATTATTTCACTCACTCCCTAACAACCACCCGATGAAGGAGATGCCATCACCTGAGAAAACTGAGGGAAGTTAAGCCATTTGCCCAAGATCTTACGTCTAGCGAGGGTTCTTTAGACCCTTCCAAGGAAATCCATCTAGCTCTTACTAGCTTAAGTCCATGAGTTTCGCCATCCAGAAAACATTTTCTGAGAACCCAAAGGAGAATTATATTTGCACTCTGAAAATCCAGACCTCCAAAAGAGGCAGGCTCCAGGCAGTCAAGAGGCCAAACTCACTTGTGACACTACCTTAGCGGTCAGTAGAAAGTTCAGACATCAGGTCCAATTTCAAGGCCCAACTCACCCACATACTGAGCCTGAGCCCATGGGCTCAGAGACTGTTTCCACATCTCAAAACGGAGATAACAGTTTAAGTTAAATTCTTCGAAACTGCCAACTTTCAACCATTTTTGTCCTCCAAAACAAAATATTTTTTTCAAATTCCTCACTGGGTCGTTGTAGAGATTAAAACGAGAGCACACAGGAAACAATAAATGGCTCTTTTGGACAGACTTCTCTCTTTCCAATTTCATTTCGCTCAGGTCAATAAAGTGTGTCCCTATTCTCTGCCCACACTTTACATGTAGAGAAGCCGGCTTAAGGTTATGTAAGTGTTGGAGCTGACAGACAATTCAGGAAGAAAATAAGACTGCGTGGATAATCAGGAATTAACAACAAAGGAGCTCCTCAGGCCTTAGTGCTCCATGCATTTCCCCCCAGTTTAGTCTCAATTACTAAATCAGTATAGACTGCTTCTCTCTTTTTTTTTTTTTTCCTTTTAGAAAGTGGAAGGAGGAGGGTATTGAGGAAGTTTAGCACTCTGTGTTAAAGTAAAGGTTTTTAAATCCATCTTGCCCCAGTCTGTGCCTGGACGTGGCTTGGCTCCTTGGCCAGCAGGAGGGGGAGTCCTGCCTTGGACCGCAGCTAGGGCTCCAGACCACCGCCGGCCGTCCGCACCCACGCCAGGAGAAGAGCCACCGGCGTCAGTTTTACCTGCCGCACGCTGTTTACTTCCTCTCTAGGTACCAGGCCCTGCTCGTGGCCCCTCGCACGCATGATTTATATACTCCCCTCACACCATCCAGGACAAAAGGGAACTCTCATTTTCCCCATTTTCCAAGTGAGGAAATAGGCACAGAGAAGTTAAGTCACTCGCCCAAGATCTCCGAACTGTGAAGTCAGACTCGAACCCGGACAGCCCCAGCATTCCCACTCGGAACCTCTCCTTTTCCAACTTGGGTAGAGGCGCTTTTTCATTTAAGAATTCTCCAAACTTGGCCACCCCCAAGGGAAGGGGTTCGGCCTCGCCAACTCGCACGACCTCGCCCGGCTCCGCAAGTCCAGGGCTGCGGGTGCCAGATGCGGAGAGCGGGTGGAGGAGCGGCGCCTCCCCCGGGTATTTAACCCCAGTCTGGAGCCCGCGGGGCGCCGGACGCTCCTGCTCCTCCCATCTCGCGGCTCCCCGCCCTCCTCCCGGCTCTCCCGGCGCGCCCCACCCTCCGCCCCGCGCTCGCCTCGCGCGCAGGCACCGGCCGGCGGGCGCGGGGAGCGGAGAACGGGCCGCGCTGGCCTCTGCCGAGCCGCCCCCTGCAGCGGCCGCCGCGCATTGCCCGGCCGGAGTGCGACGCGGCTGCCTGAGTCCGGACGCCGGCCCCGGGTGCCCCGGGGACGGGCGGACGGCTGTGAACGCCAGCCGGCGGCATGGATTCAGATTCCGGCGAGCAGAGCGAGGGCGAGCCCGGGACCGCCGCAGGTACGAGGGATCGGGGCAGCCCCGCCAGGAACACTGGGGCATCGAGGAGGGGAGGCCAGGGCGGGAAATCGAGAGTATTTCTTGGAGCTGCCGGCCGGGAGGCCGATCCCCAACAGTCCGATCCTTTCCAGGCCGGGACTGGGACGACTCTGCGCTCTGACTTTGCTTTGGGGTTTCCTCCCCATTGCATTTGGGCGCTGGAGGGAGAGTAGGTGTGTTTGAGGGTGGCTTTCCGCGCTGCAGGGCTCGGGTCGTCGGGCCGGGGCAGGGGATGGGGAGTTGTTGGGCCGGGGGAGTGACAAGGTTCGGGAAATCTGTGTCCTGTAGTTTGCTGCAGTGAGGATTGCAACACATCTGCTTTTTGAAATAACTTTCCAAGAGCCGGCCGGGTCCTCGAACTCCGGGCTCCAGGGACTCTGCGGAACAGATGACCGGCTCCGAGGGCGTGACAGGACACTCGAGGAAGAAAATGCCCCCGCGGGTGGCCAGGCAGGACTCAAACCACAGCTCGCGGTTGCGATTCCCGAGGTCGCTAGATGAGCGGGTGCAGAAGCGTTTGGCCCATCGCTGCCCTGCACACGTGGAGGAGGTCCCCCACGAAGGGTCCAGGGAGACAGACACGGTGGCGCGCGGGGGCCGAGCTTGGCCTTTAAGAGGAGCCACCAGCTTTTCACAATCGATAGTTAATCGAAGCAATGGGTGGAATTAGCAATTAGGAAAAAATGAATGTCCTCCCCCGCCTCTTCCTGATACTGAGCAACAGGAGAAAGCCACCCACAGCCTTGAGTCGACTTACCGCCAGGCTCTGCCCACCTCCACTGGCCCGCTCCACCCACCCCCCACGGGTCCAGGGGCAGAAGACCTATGGCACTCACAAGTACCCCATGGCTCCCCGCGCTCCACGCCGCCCTGCAGGCTGGCCCTGGTCAGCAGACCTGTGACCTGAGAGCTGGGGTCCTCGGGTACAGATCCGAGGTCCCAGACTAGTTCCCACTCTTCCCAGTGTCAGACCAGGGTCCCCAGGGTGGGGACCAAGTGTCAGAAGACACCATCAGCCCAGGCATGCATGTAGGAAAGACAGGCTCAGGAATCAGGCAAGTCAGCACTAGAAGCTGTGCCAAAGGCCCTGCATATATTATTCTCCTTCATCCTCACAGCACCTAGCATGGTGGTTACTATCTCCATATTCCAGAACTGGGTTAGGTGCCTTACCCATAAATCATAGCCAGGGCATAGCCAAGGGCGGAGTGACTGCCTTTCTGTTGCACCTCACAAGGCAGCTGTGGTAAATACCTACAGCTCGGTGGGAAGAGAGGAGGATGGCAGAGAAGCAAGGTGGCATCATCAAGATGCCTGTGTGTGTGGACTCCTATCTCTGTGCAAGGGCCACCTGCTTTGTGTAGGTATGTGTGGACCTAATTAATAAACATGAGCTCTTCTCCAACCTGTATGTTCCCATGACTATGAAGCACCAAGCTTTTGTTTCACAGGTGGCTTGTGGATCTCTTCCCATCATTTAAAAGTTCCAGTGGGTGTTTTGTGTGTATCTAAGTATATCTCTAGAGTTCAGAAGGAGGAGGGGAGGTGGATACATTGACACTGAAACTTTACTCTCTCAAAATCTCAGGAACTAACATGCTCTCCGGGCTCCCACCCTCAGATCTTTTATGTCGGTTGATGGAGAAGGGGAGGAGGATAAGGAGGCTTTGAGAAGCGGGGGGGTGGGGGGGGGGGTGGCAGGAGACACTCAGAAGAGTTGGTACTTGGATGACAGGGGAGGAAAAGAGTTTTAAAGGGTCTGGTTGCTTCTCCCTGCAGCCTGCTCAGCAAGGAACATCCCTGGGGGTTCATGTCTGTTTGTGTGGAAGACCTCTACACGGCTAACAGCAGCCGAGCCATGACTACCGAGGTTGGATGGATCCGGTGACGAATAGGGCAGCCAGTTCTATGAGCTGTCACCATTTGTTTGTGCCTTACTGTTTTCTACAGTCATTTCTTCTTCCTCTGTGTGCTTGAATCTCACAAGATGAACCTTTATTTGAATGTCACAAGTCATTCTGCTAAATGGCATTCAGTCTCACTCATTACTCAATCTTAAAGTCTTTGTGACACCTTCAAAACTAAGTGTTAATTCATCATCTAGCTGTGGCTACATCCTATCAAAAGGAAACTCCTGTTGCAGCTTCAGATACAGGTTAAATTATCCATAGGGGTGATCATTGTCCCTGTAAGTAACATGACATCCATCTGTGGACCTCTGCAAGCTGGGTGGGTTTGTAACAGGACAGCAGAGGAAGTGGGGCATCTTAAGAGTATTAGTGTGTGTATTTGTGTGTACCCACCTCACAGGAAGCTGAGACGAGGGCTGCTTCCTCCTCAATGCCCTCTCCTTCCTGAACTTGTAGAAAAGCCCTGCTGCAAGATGGACCTTATTAAAGTCCTGAGCCTAGACTCTGGAATCAAAAAGACCTGGGTCTCAATCTCTACCCCGTGTGTTCTAAGCTGCTTCAGTCGTGTCCGACTCTTTGTGACCCCATGGACCGTATCCCACCAGGCTCCTCTGTCTATGGGATTCTCCAGGCAAGAATACTGGTGTGGGTTGCCATTTCCTTCTCCAGGGGTTCTTCCCAACCCAGAGATCTAACGAGCATCTCTTACATCTCCTGCATTGGCAGGCGGGTTCTTTACCACTAGTGCCACCTGATGGGCAAGTTAACTTCCCCATCTGTAAAATGGGAATAACATTTTATAACATTTATAAAACATGTATAAAACATTTATAACATGTATAAAACATTTATAACATATATAAAACAATTAGTATTACTGTAATTATTATTACATTAATGTAATTGCCTGAGAAGATTTGTTTTGAATTTTCTCCTTTTCACTCTGTCTCATGTGTATGTGCACACACACACACAGATGTGTTTGTTTCAGAGAGGCTATTTTTAAGTTACCTCTTCTCATCCTCATCTTCTAGTTCAAGGCATAAAGACGGGGACCTTCAAAACTACTGCTTTCACCATCCGTCTCTTCTAGCTCTGGAGAAAGTTGCACAAAGTAGAGAACACCTTATCCGGTCTACCTTGTAACCTGGAGGTTAGCCATTTTTATGCCACTTCCGATAGAACAGGGGTTAATCCCCACACACACACTGGTTCACCTTTTCCCTTCAAGGTAACAGGAGACAGGGGAGATAGTCACTAGTCTGCTCTCCATTTTTGCCCATCTCGTAACTTTCCTGGTCAAAAACTGGCAGAGGAGTAAGGAAATGTATTTACTGTACCCCTTTCAAGAGCCTTTTCCAAAGATCTCCTCAGTGTCTGCCACACTGCTCTCTCATAGAGCAGTCCCTGCATCAGAAGGTCAAGGGGGGAGTGTGGACAAGATCTGTCCTAATCTGCATTTTCTGTTTTTCAAGAAGCAGGGGATGGTGCTTCTATGTCATTCTGCTGTCTGAAGCTCTCCTTTGCCTCTCTGTAGTTTTATGGTTCTGTCTATGATTAGGAAAGAGACAGCGTTTATGGAACACTGGATTCTTTCCAGAGACACAACTTGGCAGTCTCTCCTTTGAGAAACCCACCATCCATCTCTCAGAAATCTTAGAGCTTGGTATATTAACTCAGCAGACTGAAAGTCTTTCCTAAGAAGCAACAAGCGAGTAAACATTAGCACTGTCAGTTTTTTTTCCTTTCTGGCTTATAAAACTGAGATCGTCTACCCCAGCTGAAACAGACAAGCTTCCTCTACCCAGAGCTAGCGCCGAGCAGTCACACTGATGGAGCATCCCTATGGCTGGGTAGGTGCCACAGAAAAGCGTTTCCATGCGATGGAGTCGGGATGTGGTAAGGAAACCTCAAGATAATAAAAGAAGTGGGAAAACAACAGACTCCTGACGTTGCCCTCCCTGTCTTTCCCATTCCCTAGGTCCTAAGCTTGGTCCAGGTAGACAGAGTGGCAAAGAGGTGAGTAGGATTCAGTAGTTAGCCAGGAGGAGATAAGGTGTTCCAGAAGTCAGACACCATTGAGCAAAGGCACAGATAAATAGGGAAGCATTGGGAGTGGAGGGCATATACTAAAGTGTGCATGTGTGTGTGCAAAGTCGCTTCAGTCGTGCCCGACTCTTTGTGACCCCATGGACTGTAGCCTGCCAGGCTGCTCGTCTGTGGGATTCTCCAGGCAAGAATACTGGAGTGGGTTGCCATGCCCTCCTCTGGGATACTCAGGTGTACTGGGAAATATAGATGAATGTAGGGAGAGCCACTTACTAGAGGGGGCCTTAATAACTTGGTCCTGACGGCGCTAAAGGAGCCCCAGTTGAGCTGATAGCAGAGCAGAGATGTCCCTGACTGAGAGCTGTGTTTTCAGAAGCCACATCTGACAGACATGAAGTAGGGAGATGGCCTAGGCTTGGAGTCTCGGCTACCAGGGTGTGACCACACAGTCAGAGGGTATGGTATCCCTAAGCGAAGCAGGAGAGGAAGGATGCAAATGCCATTTCAGAGAAACAAACAACAGAAGTTGGTGACAGATTGTACAAAAGCAGTAAAAGGAGAGGGACAGTGGAAGGGGACTGGAGTGTTGAGTTGGGCTAAGGCAGGGAAATGCAGGAGACAGGCTTCCCCACCCCACCGGCGCTTCCTTTCTTTCCATCAGATACTTAACAGTGAGGGAAAGACCCTGATGACGGGAAAGATTAAAGGCAGGAGGAGAAGGGGATGACAGAGGACAAGATGGCTGGGTGGCATCATCAACTCAATGGACATGAATTTGAGCAAGCTCTGGGAGATGGTGGAGGACAGGGAAGCCTGGCATGCTGCAGTCCATGGGGTCACAAAGAGTGGTAAATGACTTAGTGAATGAATAACAAAGTTTTGCTTACAGACACCTCCCCCCACCCATAGTAAATTATGCTAGGACATTAGTTTTGGAGGATCATGAGGTTCTGGCGTTTGTTGATTCTTGTTGTTGGTTTATTTGTGGAGGCTATTCAGTAC